AAAGTTTGATGTACATAAGTTGATAAGCATTACACTACAAGTTCATCATAATTGTAGTGTGTGGTTAGTAATTAACTATGTTATTTTTTGAAACGATATTATTTTAGACCATGATCCACATTGCAGCGAATCATGGTCCAAGATATAATGATGGGATTTAAGATGGAGTATGTACAAATGATTGAATTGTGTTTCACATTAAAATAAAATAAAGAGAAAGGGGTACATTTATAATAAATTGAATTATTTAATCAATTATATTTAACTTTTTAATTTTATTTTAGTTTATTAACTCTCATATGTTTTTTATTTTTATTTTCACTCATCACAGTCAATACATTCTCAATTCTGATTAATATAAGCTGTGAACGATGTTTTTCTTTTATAAATGTTTTTATTTGGTGAACACCTAAATTGTACATTTGAATACTCTAGAAATTTGTGTGGTTTGAATTCGTTGTTTCTCATTTCTACTCTGCATAGTCCATGTATGATGTTTGACATATTCCTATAAATCTGTCTGTGTTTAAGATTTTCAATTTAATTACTATGGCGAAGTTAACCCATTTTTGGACTGCGTTTTAAATTTTGATTATTTGTTAGTTAATTTGCATAGGTTTAGGTTATTGGATTATGGCACCGGGGAGAGATAGAATCAGTCAACTTTCCGCGAATATACTTGACCACATCTTGGGATTTTTGACGATTAAAGATGCTGCTAAAACCGCTGTGTTATCTTCCATTTGGAGAGATGTTTGGTTGAGTCTTACCCAACTCAATTTTGATGATGAGTTCTTTTGTTATATGTATAAAAAATATTGCCATGCTATCAAGTATGCCAAGAAATCAGCGGTGAGTTTATACGTGATCAACAAAATTTTGCTGCAGCACAAGGGAACCATTCGGAAATTTGTTTCGAGTTTTTTTAATGTTGGGGTACGTGTAATTGAGTCTCGTTCTTATGACTTTGACCAATGGTTACTTTTAGTCACACGAAAAAATGTTGAAGAAATTTTGACGAAAAATCATACAGGTTGCCAAACTGCGTATTTTCTTGCTTAACACTTAAGAGATTGCATCTTTGTGGTGTCATTGTTGAACCAATGAATTTCCCTTGCATATTACCTAATGTTGCTTCAATTTGTTTTGAACGTGTTGACTTTGGTCCTATAAATTGTCTAGATTGTGCTATTGACATTCCTGTACTAAAGAAGTTGTCATTTATTCAATGTCGTGACATATTTCATTTTGACATTACTGCTCCAAAGCTATGTAGTTTAACAATTAAATTCTGCTCATCTACCGTGATGGGCAAATTTCTCCCGGGTAACTTGGACTTGAGATCTATTTCTACTTTTGATTTGGATGGTTATCGCCAGGTATTTAGCCATACTTTTTTTTTTTTTTTTTAAATATAGATTTGACTATTATTTATTTATAATTTTTTTAAAAGAGAATTGATTCCACTTTCTTTCTATTTGATTTTCAAGGGACTTTTTAAAGAAATCACTAGTATGGGATTTCAACTAAATGTGGAATACCTTAAGCTTTCATGTACCCAAAAATTCTATATCAAAAGTGATGGATCATCTTCTGTGTTTGTTCATTTGCTGCGATTATGCCATAAGTTACACGCAAACTCGATATCGAATCATTCTTGGTAATCTTCTTATTCATGGACAAATAATTCATTTGTTCTCTGATAGTTTAGTTGTTTCTGTACTGTTTTGCATTTCCGAATACAATTTTGTTGTGTAAATATTGATCTGATTGAGTTTTCTTTTCTCTGTATTTGATGCTTGTCTATAGTTCGCACCAGCAGCTACTAAATGTATGGACGACACCTATTTGGAACTTCAAGCTGTGGCTCAAACAAATAAGATGCTCTATGCTTTGAAGTTTTTCTCATTTAACGGGTCATATCCTGAAACACTTTTCATTAAGGAGCTACTTGCCAATTTTTCAACGCTTGAAAAGGTTGTCATTGTTCGTGATAAACGTTTCTGCAAAAAGGACTCTACTGGAATTATGCAGGAGCTTTTGGAACTTCCCGTTGCCTCCACAAAAACGAAAGTCATTATTGTCTAATGAGTATATTTCCATTGAACAAACAAGTTTCTATTTTGGAAATGGTTTCTATGAAAATCTCTGCATTCCATTCAGTTGCTGTGTATGTGCCCAATGTTGTGGCAACTTGTTTGTATTGTTTTGCATTCACTAATGCAATTTTATCCCAAATTATTTTTGGAAGGTTGATGAAATGAAGCCGAATGGTGACAACATTGTCCTGATGTTTTGGAAGTAAGTGAAGTAACGGCTTAGTTTGGCTCACACACAAAATTTCTCCACACCGGAAAGAAATATTTTTTGTCAAGCCATTGTTTGTTTGCTTTCCTAAGCTCTCTTTTTAACACTCGAGAAGGTTGCCATTGTTCATACCCATGGTTTCCAAGAGGTTTTGAATTTTTCTCGTGTCTTAGAAAAGCAAAAGTGATTTTCTTTTAAAAATTTTCTTGTATTTTTACTATTGGATTCAAATCCTTTTCACCTTTTGTTTCCTTTTATGAATGATATGCTCTATAACTTTCATAATTTGTCCTGGTTAGCTAGGTTGTATATAATTTTGGGGCTTACTATTTTTTTATTTTTTATTTTTGGTTTTTAATTATCACACCACTCTTGTTATATATACATTTTATTTCAAAGCTTGTTGATAAATTAGGCCTAACTATGCTTAGACACCACCTTATTGTTGGGGAAAATTTTACATGCAAACTCCATATATATGTAACACCACTACCGTCGTTACGTTTCAAACTATACATACATGCATAGCTGGCGAGCCTAATACAAAACCGTACAAACCATCATCTCTCTCCTCCCTCTCTCTCTCTCTCTCTTTATATATATATATATATATATATATATATATATATATAATAATGATTAAATAAGTCAAAATTAGCTGATAAGCTAACTATTTTACCAAATAGAGTCTATATATATATATATATATATATATATATATATATATATATATATATTTTTTTTTTTTTTTACTTATCACAGTCAATATATTCTCAATTCTGATTAATATAAGTTGTGAACAATTTTTTCTTTTGTAAATGTTTTTATTTGTTGAACACCTAAATTGTATTTAATTTGTGTAAGTAGAGCACTTCCAATTGTTAATTGTCACCAATTATATATTAAATTTATTATTACACCAACTATTTATAAATAGGCATATACATAAAATCAAATAGTTGATTCTATAAATAAAAACAATTCCATAATATAATAATAATAATAATAATAATAATAATAATAATAATAATATTATTATTATTATTATTATTATTATTATTATTATTATTATTATTATTATTATTATTATTTATGAACAAAACATTATGGAGTAACTCCGTATTAAATACGGAGTATATGTAATTAGATGTGTACAATAATTTATTTATAGTAAAAAAATTGTTGTAATTCATAATAAAATTTAAATATTGTACTATTGTGCTCCAATGGGCAGAATTGTATAAAAGCGGAAGGGAGAGCTCTTTATGCTTTCACAAGTAATCCTAATTTTCCCCCATTATCATGTGCAATGATGAATAAATGCCCAAATATCCAAGGTTTCTATTACAAAGAAGCAAGAAAAAGTTAATATTTCACCACCAATTTCGATTTTGTGATTTTCTCTCAAAAAAATTCACAAAAGTACCAATTAAGCATAATGTGCTTGGCTTCACTATTATACTTGTGATGTAACTTTTATTTATTAAGTACTTAAATCTCATCATTAATTAAAAAATAATAATTATCCAATAAGATAATTATTAATATATTAATATTGTGTAACTTATAAATACAAACAGGAACGGAGGCTGTATGGGGGCTGCTACCCCCACTCCCCCACCCCTTTATATATATATATATATATATATATATATATATATATATATATATATATGTATGTATGTATGTATATATATATCGACATATATAGCATTAAATGTTATATAAAATTTATATTTATATCGACATATATAGCATTAAATTTTATATAAAATTTATATTTATATTTAACTAACTAATGGTTAAAGTAGCTTAGTTGGTTGAACTTCATATTTAACTTTTAAAAAAGTGTATGGTCATAGGTTCGAATCTCATTAAAAACATTTTTCCTTATCTTCACTTATTTATTTTATATCTTTCATTCTTTCCCAAGATAAATATTTTTTAGCCTAGTTTTATGAATCATTTAATTAACAAATTAAATGCTCTTTTAGTCTACTTTTTATTAATCATTTAATTAATGTAGTATACAAGTTTATATTATACTTCATTTTATTCAAATTATTTTATCTAATTGATTATGTTTCATATTTTGTCATAAATATTTTTACATTTTCACCTCACTCAAGTATATTTTTTGCTCCAACTCTAACCATCGTTTAATCTATCAAAAATATTCTACTGTAATTTGTAATATATTTTGTAATTTATAATATATTTTGTATTTTAACCTTATTATTTATGACAGTGTGATATTTCGTAATTGATATTTCTAACCGTCATTTAAACTTTGCCCCCACTCAAGTATTTTTCTGGCTCCGTCCCTGAATACAAAATAAGATAATTACATATATGTTAACATTGTGTGTTCTTAATATACAAATTGTAAAATTTTAAAAGAAAAATTGAGAACATTTGGACCCAGATTCAATGAATAACTTGCATAGCATAAAAGAACATGCATACATACATGTATGTATGGCATTATGTGGCATGCATGTGTCATGCCATATAACACATGATTCACCGCACATCAGCGTCATATCGACATTGAATGCGTGACATTGAGTCTACATGCATGTCTGTTTAGAATGCAAATCGAATAACCACGATTTTACACTATACCTCAAGTAGAGAAAATTAATCCTTGAATTAACCCGAATAAAAATATAAAGACAACAATAATGCTTAAATACAACAAGAAAATCACGAAATTTGCTATCAAATATTCAAAGATCACATGATTTGGTGTTTTAAGTGAGACCATACATATCCTAAAGAAGAGAGCAACTAATTTATACAAAGTCATGTTTGGGCAATGTCCTACACAATCCGAGAGCCTTCCACTCTTCCCGAGTGGAGAGAGTGATTGGAATAACCTTGGGTGACATTTCATTTTTTTAGTCAGTTCATTTTTTCATCCAGTAACTAATAATTATTTAGAATTTTCTAAATCTCATGTTACTTCAAAAAAAAAAAAAAAGAGTATGTTATAAGCTGTACTAATACTTCAGATAATCGTCACTTCATTTTTACATAAGAAAGAAATATGCATGTGAATATCTATCTATTTAGGAGGCTCAATCCGCCTCTCCTAGACCATCACTGCCATCACCTCTTTTGGATATAGCCATTAGATGGGTTTTAGGTTTTTTCTTTTGTGAAGCAATTTCAGCATTTTTTCGCAACACTGCTCCGGGTGATGGATATGGGCGCTGTTGAAACAGAGGACCCTGAAATTCATAACAAACACCACTCTAATGTTAATATACATTGCATGTCAACAAACACAAAACTTGCATATAATCTATTCATGCATGGAACTATATGTTGAGTATAATACATATATAATTGAGACATAACAAATACTACAATTCTATAAAACATTAACATTAGGGTGCTCTCATAAAGAGAGTGATGGAGTATTGAGAGGAGAATCTGGAAGACATGAGTGCAAATAACAAAAACCTCAGGCCAAATATCTCAAGATCATATGCATAACATATCAATTGAAAATCTCTAAAACTCAAACAATGACAGCATACTGTAAAATCTGACTTGACACCTTTTTTAGCTAGCCAATTAGTATTGTCCATGATACTTGCTTTTAGAGAGTAATGATTATCAACGCCTTTCTTCCCTAGCACGTTAAATGTTCTAAATATTCCTACACACTATATGCATGAGGAGCAGTGATGGCTTAGTATTATTTCAGCTACTATCTCTTGCACAAACGAAATGAGAAATTCAGTTCAATGAGATCCAATTCTTCAAATAAAAAATTGTACCGTGGCAGTTGTGTCTGCTGCCCGTGGTTGCACTCCTTTCAGTCCCACAACCCTGAATATAGACATGACAGAAACATAGTTCAAAATTTACATCACACAGGAGAGAGGGGAGGGGGGGGGGGGGGGGTGGGGAATTGTACAAATATCACTTGAAGGCAAAATGGACACATACCAACCACCCCTAGGTGCATCTGAATAAGCACTTGGATCCATGGGATCCAGCTCATCATCCTCGGAGTATGTACGCTTCCGGTTGTCTCGTTTATTACCTTTTCCCATGGGTGGTTTGAAATTGGACCTACAGACCCAAGTCACCCAACAATCAGTTAATCAGGCTGATTGACATCCAAACAGTTTCAATTATCAATCATATTCCATTATTCCATTTAGGAAGGGCAATATATATAGAGGTAGCCAGTAGGAAAAGAGAATGGATCATGTGAGAATCATTGCTAGTGTAATTAATGAGATATAACATGGACCGACCAGATCATATGGTTAAATGGTCCAGATTTACACAGCAATTTTGTAATTTTCACACCTAAAAGCGCACATTTTACAGCATAAAAGTGTAAATGCATTGACATAAAGTGCACCTTCAGCAACACAAATAGTGGCCAGCGGGGACTGGGGAAGGAGCCACAGTAGTGATAGAAACTCTCAAGAAATGACCAAATAAAAGTATAAATAAATAAGAGAACAACTCATGAATTAGGGCCGTCAAGGCTTCAAGTACAGGGCAGGGCAGTGTGAGCTTTGAATTGTATAGTTGTGAGGTGACATGGATTGCCGGTAGGGTCAATTTTTAATACCCTTAAGCATTATTTTGGGGGTGGGAAGGTGGAATCAGTTTGACACTGTTGCTTTCCAGATACACAAGTAGCCAATCACAGTATTTTCTACATGTCAAGCATGGAATTCGAAGCGCCCTCCATGAGACTGATACAGAGCCAGAAAAGCTGTCAAAGTCCAACCTCAAGAACAACCGACAACACTCGCCCATTAGCACTATTAAGCCAATTAGTCTTTCTTATAGTTGCAGAGATTGGAATTATTCCTTTGACTACATTAAAGTAACTCTCAAAAGGAACTTACAAATACTATTGCATTAGGCTTTTACACATGGAAAATTGATTCTCAAATTACAATAGGGCAACCTTTTTCCTAATTGATTACGAGCTCCTACTCTTTGTGTACAGACTTTGAGGTCTAAGGCATTTCCTTGACAACATTTTCATTGAGCCATAACAGATAAACCACAAGACAACTTGGCTCTGATTATGCAGGAGCTACAATGTACAGACAACTTCCCATGTATAGAAACTGAATTGGGTGAAGAAATGAAGGGCAACAGCAAATGTATTTATACTAAATGACCAAAGAAGAAATACCATACCTCTGTTTCTGAAATTTCTTATCAGAATCTTCTTTAGAACCAAAAGTATTGGTTGTATGATGTTTGCCTTCCATGTCTTCCAATATATATTGACTTTGAGGAAGGTTTAAAACTCTGCATGTGAACAAGATAATACAACAATATAACATTAGTGAAGCATAAGAAATATGAGGTGTACTATTACATTATCATGATATCAAGGCTGTACGTTTAAGTCAAACTAATGAGAGAGAAATAACAACTAACATTCAGAGACAAGTTTGAACCATGTTCACATAAAACCGAAGCAAGTTAAAGAAATTAACACGCAAGCTGAAACTAATGGGTATAAAAGCCAAATGGCCACATGAGTACCAGGGAACTAAGATATTTGAACATTCATTTAGTTTTGCTATTGATACTTTAAAATTGATACCATTCAGTGCATACAGAACAGAAAGGAGTCAATGTCATTTGCATCAGTTAATAATGTAAGCTAAGCTCGTTACTTGATTGCTGTGTTAAAAAAAAAATACTAAATTAAAAAATTAAAAATAAACGAAAAAGCATTAAAATATTCAAATAGCAAATATTCAGGTGCAAGTCATAATTAATTTCTAATCAAATTCAAAAGCACATGAACTACTTAACTTTTACTCTTTAATCCTGTCGTGGATATTGTATCCCGTGAAATTTTTAAAGCCTTGAGCATTGTATCTTGTTAAATTAAATGTTAGAGCTTAATATGATTATAATCTCAATTAGCTACACTTTCTTATATTTCACTAAAGAGTAGAATATCTCATTGAGGATTTTTCAAGGTCATTCCTCTAACTTATGTTCTCCCAGAATGGCATATAGCATTTCTGTCTGGAAAAAATGAACTTTTTTTTTTTTTTGAAACATAAAGGAACTTAATTTAGTCAAAAAGACTTTCCATTGAAAATAAAAGAAATCTTATAATAATCATACCCTACAAAATTTTAGCTTTTCTTTAACTACTTTAATTCATTCATTAATAGTAGGTTTCATGGTACAGTTAGATCAAAATTTTGTTGCTGGAAGGCCAAAAAACAGAATATTGTGGGGAGCAGCAACAACAAACAATGCACCAAATTCGCAACAAAAGAAAAAGTCCAAATTAAAATGGCAAGAAATGGTTAACTAATTAAATAGCTAAAATATGGCAAACCTAGTGCAATGTCTGCAATATCCCCATGATTGCAAAAGGGCCACCCCCCATCCACCACATCCCATACATTTTGGTAGTGTAGATGACTGTTCACCCCAATTCCTAGTTGTATTTGCATCATGCTGCTGTAAGGCAACCTGCTTTGTACACGGGTTCTCCCATTGAGATACATTGGTCAACGTGTTATAGTAATACTTTTGACCTGTACAACACAATTCAGGAATTATGGATTTATGGGTGACAGGGAGGAGGGAAAGACAAGCAAAAAACAATGAGTAGCCAAACAAGTTAAGTGCATGAGCATACCCGTTGTTTCATCAATAAACTCTTGCCAATTTTCAGGAAGCTGTGAAGGCAATGTTGAGTCCAGGACAGAAGCAGCCACAGTAGGTCTCTCCCACTGACTTTTTCCTGTACTTTCATCATAGTAATATGTAGCACCACTTGCAGGGTCATGGGCCTCAATCTGCACAAGCATTTGATGGAAATCTTTTCAATATAATTAACTCTTAATTTGAACATAAAGCCTAGACTAGAAACTCCCTTTGTATAACTCCAAACAAACCTAAAATCTTCTAGGCTACATTTTACATAGATGAAATCCAGAGCAAATGCAAATTGCCAAATATTTTTAGGCAGAAGATGTCAATAGAATTTGTTTACCCTTCAATGTATAGCAAAAACAGGTATATACAACTGTGCCCTAAATCTTTCTTGACCAGCTGAAATCCAGGATCTAAAACGATACTCTGAACACAATGTCTGCAATATTTTCTAACCAGTTTTCCCACTTCTCACTCTTATAAACATAGATGCTAAATAAATTTCTCATTGACAATACAACCTTATGTACGGTCAAAAATTATTTCTAACACCACTTCAGCTTGGCTTGGATAGTCCATAAAACAACAAAGAAATTTTTAAAAAGTTACACAAATTACATACATACATACAAGAAGAAAAAAAAAATCTTATTTTGAGTAGTTCAGGTATATGTGAGTTTGGAATCTCCCACAACTCAAAATCCTATTTCAATCATTCAAAACTCAAAAGCAAAAAATAATAATTTCTTGTTGTCTATAAGATGGATATAACAACTTTATAGAAGGGAAGAATACAAATATCAACTTAAGTACTCACCCATCCTGGAGGCAATTCTGCAAGTGGCATCCTCTGAGATGGCAACATCTCTGATCTCTGGATTTTATAAATTTTTAGAACAGTTAATTAGATACATGTTTTCAAGAAAAAAATAAAATAAACAAACACACACATTATACTTCAGAATAAAGATCCTCACAAGAGAAAAACAGGAATAAATATGGGCATGAGGTGAAGAAATTCCAACTTACGTTGGCTGGAATGGAATGATCCATTGTTGGACCATCCTTCAGAATACCCCTATCTCTCAACTTCTTTTTGAGAAATTCAGGCAACTCTTTAGCAGTAGACTTGTGTCCAGAATCCCCACTAAGCTCTGCATTGGATTCATTTGTTGCATAGCCAGGGACGGCATCTCCTTGAAAAATCTTGTCCAATTAGATCAAACTTGACAGTACACATCAAATAAAGAGCAGGAAAGAAGTCTTACTGGAGTTAGTGGCACTTGGCTTCAGAGCACCATAATAAGCACTGCCACCCGGAACACCATACCCATTTCCAATTTCTATATTACCTGGTAAGAAGCAATAACATTTTATTTATAATAAAATATGACAGAATCCTAGACTTTAAAATTGCTTAATCTAGTTTAATATAATTGCCAGAATGCCAGGTTTGAGATATGGATTCAGATGCACATTATTTTGAAGAACATGGACAGACCTCTCATTCTTCATTAGAGGAAATTTTGAGATTACTTTTCTTATGAGTAATAAGAAATGACCGATAAAACACAAAGGTATCTTAATTTTTTGTAAACTTGGCAGGCATCACGATTTTCATCTCAGAGAAATACTATCACTTTAAGGTGAAATTTATCATAGGCCTGAGTTGAAAATATAAGTCATCTCTGCTAACTAAGCTAATCCTTAAATCAAAATCCAGTTGGGACCAGCTTTAAGCTGAAATTTATCTCTAAAAACTACTTCATAGATTCTAATCTAAATCATACTAATTACTATTGGGCCCCACATCAAAAGGTGGAATCTTTTTCTCTAAAGCTACTATAGATTCCGAATCATATAGATCCAGAAATACTGTGGGACCACACATTACCACATCAAGGGCTATGAGCGGGCCCCTATATATTTAGGGTGCTCTAACAGGAGAAGTCCCTCCCACAGCACCATAATGTTGGTTCCAGAGAAAGAGCTACAGCTACTATAACCTTATAAAGTATAAGTTAATCTTTCAAATCTTTTTCTTCAGATTCATAATGCGGGATTCAACATCAGTATTGTTTTTTGGATATCAAAAGTTATATTACTCACTTTCCAAACATTCACCCTCCAAGAAGAAAGATTGCTTTAGGAAACCAAAATAAAATTCATCATTTTCAAAAACAGTAAAAAAGTAGTAACATTTGTTTTAAGAAAATTTTCAACCTATTTAAGAAATGGGTGAATTCTAGATGAGAATTCAGAGGAAAACACCTCTCAGTAATGTTTTCCTTTCCGGTTTCCCTTCATTAATGGTTTCCTGTTTCCAACTTTATTGGATCTACTAACATCGTTATCTATGAAACTTACCAATAGTATTCTCTTTTTAAAATTTAGAATGATACAAAGAATTTCAGGTCAAACAGAAGAAACTCCTGAACCAACCTTCCTCAGGCAACACAGACCTTCCACGCTTCAATGCCATCTGAGTACGATGCTCTGCAGTCATTTTCAGTAAATGCTCCTATAGAGCACAAACGAGTAAGCACCTCCCAATTGAGAATGATCTAATGTGGTTACATACATTCAAAGATGCCAAAGGAAAATAGAAAGAAACAGAGACAGCCAGACAGTGGAGGTGAGCACCTTTAAAGTATTTGGGTCATGACGGCCAGAAAAAAGGTCTTTACTATCCTCATGAAGCTCACTTGCTGATCTTGCTTCTCTGGTTGAGATGTAAATTTATGTAAAGATCAATTATGTGGGCTACTTACAAAAGGCAAATAAATTCCAACCAACACCAACCTCTGAATTTGTATAACTTTCTGGGTGGCAATTTCCTGAATAGATGTTTGACAAGATAAAATTAGAGGTGAACAAAAAGCAATGAGTAAACTACTAAGTACTAACGAAGGTTGGGGAATATCATGCCTGTTCGTGCAGAACAGCACTCCGAGCCGCATTCTCAATGTCATTGGTGATTTCTGGTTGTGGGGTAGAACCACTAGATTCCAAGCCAGAAGGCATTATATGACATGTGACCTCAGTAGACACTCCAGAAGTATCTTCTTTGAGTTTCTGAACAGATTGAAAGCTATTTGGCATTTGATCTACCACATGCTGAGTATTTGTACAATGAATTTGAGATGAACTTGTGGAATGTGGTTGGAAGCTTTCTGCTGGAGTAAACCTAAATCCATTAGAAGGGAGGACAGGAAAGAGACTGCCCTCAGAAGAGTGAGCAGGGTATTCAAAATTATTGGAATTCTGAAAATTTGGAGTAGAAGGTTTAGTTGCAGGAAGGAGTTCAGAAGAAATTGAAAGAGTCTGGACTCCAGGAGGAAGCGGTTGATCTGAATGATGATCCATAAGCTTAAAATGGTATTCTGTGTATGCCTAAATCTAAAAAATTTGTCCTCAAAATCACTAAAGGTTGAAGAAAAATGGGTGTTAACCAAAGGGAAGCTGTTCAAACCTGCAAAAGAAAGTGAAAAAGAAATTATTAAGTATTAACTCCAATGCACAAATTATAATAAAGTTAAGAGATTTCATCTTCAAGATAAATGAAGAAAAATGAATTGCCATTAAAATGATCTAAAAAGTACACTTTCAAGAAGGCTGGTCTTTCCAGAGTGAAACTGGACAATTAACTCCTCAATCATTCTAGGAAAATTTGAAGTCTCATTACCTTTTTTTTTTGGAAGGTAATTCTAATTCACCTTAGTTACAAAAAATGATTTGTAATTCAAGGCAAGCTTTTGCAACGCTAAGGACTTCATGAGAGTTATTTACAATTACATTTTGACCATGCATGGATTAATAAAGACTACATGACAAGTGATATTTGGTTCCTTCAGGTGTAACAACAATAGGACTACAGTTATCTTCCATAGCAAATCCTAATTGATCATGTTGCTAATAAAGACTATAATGATCAAATGCAGACAAACTTTTGAGTGTTGATTTCAAATGGAAGTATAACACATTAAATTTATAATTAAAAAAAAAATACACAAATTCATCATCTTGTGTTTGTAGGCATACTAATCTTAAATACTAGCTGGTATATGTGGGGTGTGTGTGTTTGTGTCTCGTAAGCACCATGTATGGTTAAAGCAGGTATTTATACATTAATGCTATAAACAACATGAGATAAGTACTGAAAAATAGAATTCCATTCTCTATGAATAAAGATACACAGTATAATTGAAGGCCACAAACAGGGTGCTATACAAGTACAACAAGCTAGCATCACGTACCAACTAAGCAAGAAAAACACCTAACAAGTTTCAATTCTCATCGCATTGCCATTGAAATTAAAATTCTTGTCATTGCATTATCATTCTATAAAAACTTCAGCACAATCATACAACAGACTAGTTTTACAGAGAGCTTATCTAAAGCAAGAGTTATCACTCTCGGTAATTATATATATAAGAAAAAAAAGGGAATAACTAGAGCTAATACTGTCAAGAGGTTCAGCTACCAGTAATCTAAACAAGAACATGAGCCTAACTCAAAACAGTGGAAGTGATTATGGTCTCTGTAACAATTTTACAATCAAAAACTTTTGAAGCAATCTTCATAGCCGAATGGCAATCTTAGCATATTCTTAGATTTTTGAAAATGTAAAGACTAAAGAGGTGTTGTAGCCCTTGTTCTCATGAGACCCCAAAAAAAAAAAAAAAACAGCAAGTTTTTCACTGTGGAAGAACAATGCTTGCTCCTTCTCCTCCCACTCATTTGCATACTCCTCTCCACCATTACAACTGGAAAATGTTTGGCAGGCAACATTGGGTGCATAACTGGCCAACTTTAACATCTGAATCATCTCATCCAGCATCAAGTATATCTCATGAGCCTCATAGTGTGATTTGTCACCAGCACTAAACTGATGAATTTGACCAATGAGCACCTACATATATAGAACTAATACCAGGTACTTTTCTAACACCCCTATGCTTAAGAATTCCACGAAGTGAATTGGCCTTGTCTCTCTTGCCAGCAAAGACATACATATTGGAAAGCAAAATGTGATACTCTGAATTGTGTGGATACATTTGAACCAGCTCCTTCATCAGGCATTCCCCCATTTCAATGTTTTTATGTACACTGCAGGCCCCTAAAAGTGATCCCAACACAACCTCATTTGGGGGCATAGGCATCTTTTTTATTACAGATTTTGCTTCTTCAAGATACCCTGCCCGGCCCAAAAGATCTACAAAGCAAGAGAAGTGTTCCATAGAGGGTTTTATCCCATACATAGGTTCGAGATTATAGAAAAAGTGTCTACCTTGATCAACTAAACCTGAGTGACTACAAGCACTTAACACAGCTGTGAAGGTAACATCATCTGGTTTGACATCTTTAACCATTTCCCCAAACATATCCAACAAAGTGTTTCCCTTCCCTTGCATTGCCAGCCCACTTAGCATAACATTCCATGTAATCACATTCCTTTGAGGTGTCATTGCAAAAACTCGAAAAGCATCATCAATCCTACCACATTTAGCGTACATATCAATCAAAGACGTTGAGATCATAGCATCCAATTCACTGTTTATCTTTTTCAGATAATACACATGCACCCATTTACCCATCATGACATTCCCTGATTGTGCAGAAGCTGATAACCACGAACAAAGTGACACAAAATTTAACTCAAATCTTAAATCAAAAAGCATTATGCTTAAAAGTCTAAAAGCCTCCATGGTAAACCCATTTTCAACATACCCTGCAATCATAATTGTCCAAGCAACAATATTTCTCTGGGGCATCCTATCAAAAACTAACCTAGCAATTTCCAAGCCTTCCATCCTTACCACGCCTTCCAACAATATAGTCCAAGAAACAACACTCCTTTCTCTCAACTCGTCAAAAACCTTTCTCGTTTCATTAATTAATCCACATTTCACATACATATCCATAATTGCATTGCACGCTTTAACACAGAAATCCAGCCCTATTTTAATTAAAAAAGCATGTCCTTGAACCCCAACCCCATCGCGACCTAATTTTGCGCACCCATTGAACACTGAAACCATAGTAAGTTCATCAACAGGAACAATTTCTCTGCGCATATCTATAAATAGCTTGAGCGCGCTTAGTGGAGACCCTGCCCGAATATAACTGCCCATCAAGACAGTCCAATCTACGGTGTCCTTCTGGGACAGGGGAATTTCGTCGAACAACTTGCGCGCGGACAGTGCACGCCCACACGCGGCATACATGTGGAGTACAGCATTCCGAAGGAATGCGTTGGGAGTATTCAACAGTCCTGAGGTGATGGCCGCAGCATGAGCTTTCTGGCCTACATCTAAAGCTAAGTATCGAGCGCATGACCTAAGGAGGGTCCGGTAGTGGCGAGCCAGAGTGAAAAAGCAATGGCGCTTTCAACACAGTGGTTTGAACCGAACATATAAAACATTCAAAGAAAGAAAAAAATCAGAATCAGAAAGTTGAAAACAGCAAGAGAAGCTCACCTCAAAGTTTTGCATATGGTTTGGCCGTTGATCTGTTAACTGTTATGGTGGTGACAATATATTGCGGTGCGGGCTGGAGCTGGACTGACGGTGTTAATGCGAATGCCGAGATGGAGAGAAATTTTGGATTCTTCCTTTAGGTAATTAAACTATTTTCTAGGCCCAATTCCTTTTTTTTTTTTTTTTTAATTAGGTGATATAAGGGCAATTTATATCAAGCACCACATCGCGCGTTGCATTGTGCGTCCTATTGAAAAACAACGTCGTTTCAATTTTATTTTTTTTATTTGAAATTTCCCGCCCTAGTGTTTGGCAATTAATTTTTCTTCAAAAAAAAATACATGTTCAAAAATGTACATAATGTTATACTAAAATACACATAATTGTATAAATGAATGTACATAATTATATAACAAAATATACATACTCTTTTTTAAAAGATAATACACATAATCTAACATAATACATAATAAACATAAACTTTTAACATAATACACTTCAACTCTTAACATAATACACAAAATTTTTTTGATTCAGATGTACATAATTATATAAAAAGAATGTACATAATTGTAGAAAAATGTACATAATTGTATGAACAAATATACATAATTGTATAAACAAATATACATAATCACAATAACTTCTTACCGCGCCTTCTAAAACGACGTCGTTTTAGGAAGCGCGCGGCACACAATGCTATGCGCGCCTTGATGTAGGGTATAACAATTGCTATACCATGCTTAAACTAATTCTCATTTTCATTCACATCGAACCAGTCCAATTAAGTAGTAAAGTAATACAATTGAGTGCACGATTCCATCAGTGTGTGTGTGTGGACTAATCATGGTTAACAAGGTTGAAATAATGGAGACTTCAACAAAAAGAGACAAAACTAGTTCCAATGCACATCAATGACATCATACCCTTTCCACCTCTCTAGGAAATGCAAGGGAGGTACATTCATATAAGAATCAATCACTATACCATGCATAACATAAATAACTAAAAAAAATTATGCCTGCAATAATAGAAACAGATATTGAAGATGGTGATGAGTAGAAATTGCGACACGAGAAACTAGTATACCAGCACACTACAATGCAAGAATATATCTAGGTCACATATCACTTTTAGTCTTTTTTTCTTTTTTTTCAAAAAATTCTTATTGGTCCTAATATTATTGTGGCATGATCATTCTTGGTCCTCCGGACTATTTAGTTCTAAGTGTTAAATCTTCTTTTTTTTTTTTGTCATAGATTTATGTCTCATTTCACTGACGCAAAGACTTAGGTTGTGGAGGCACTGATGTGGCCTGTGGAGGCATGAATTGCAATTGAAGAAGATTTACGACTCTTGTCTTGAATTAGAAATTTTTCAAAAAAAATAAAATTCAAAATTTAGGCGTCTACCCGCTTTGTATGAAAATGACTGAAATGTCTTCGTGTCATTTAAACAAGTTTATTGACGGAAGACAAAAAATAGTCATGTCACAATAATACTAGAATTAACATGAATGTTTTGAAAAAAAAAAAAAAAAAAAAAAAAAAAGACTAAAAGTGAAATGACATCTATAAATCTATGACAAAAAATTAAATTAACTCTATAATGTAAAAGGCTCAGTGTGATTAATGGACTTGGGAAAATTATGGTTGATTTCTAAAATTAGGCATTAATGGTAATTAGGATCAAACTTTGTGTCTGGCAAATGATGGAGCCAAATGAGTTTGATAAAATACACTTGTCTCAACATGTCCACATCGTCATCATTGTGGTCATGGTCGTCGTTGGAATTGGTGGTGTTATTATATGGTTTCCAATGATAACAACTATTACCATTACACCTGTTAGATTATATAAAATTTGCTTAAGATTTATGTTGATGTATTTGAGGCTTCGAGCAATTCAATTGGTTAGATAATCATGAAAAATAAATTAAAACACAACTTTCCATACTTCAAAACTCTAGAAATGATATACAGTTAAACAAAGAAGTTGGAAAAAGTCACATTGTGATAGTTGAATGATAATTACAATTTACAATTACAGCATCCACAATGGTTGGGGAGAATTGGGGATAATGTAAGAATGATTAGGAAAGAGAAAGTGGGAAGGAGAGAAAAATAAATAAAAAAAAATAACAAAACTGATTTTTAAAATAAAAGAAAATTAAAAAACAAAAAAAAACATGGTCAGGCACGCGCCCGTGTGGATGGCTGCTGTGCGCAAAACGCGCACAACAACCTGTTTTGTCTGATATAGAGAATGCATTGGGAAGAGAAATATCTTTGTATTTGCAAGAGAAATAACTCTACAATTAACCCCACCCCACATCTATAAATAACTCCACCCAAGATATTTATTCTTACATTAACCCCATATTATCCATTGGTGTGGATGCTCTTAGTAACATGAGATAACAAATTCTTCAGTGTATCGATTAGTAAAATTACCATAAGAAATATATTGAATATACCAAATGCACGTGAACATGTTAACAGATGTTACATACTTCGACAATGTGATGCATGGTATATCACTTATTATTGTACAAGGGTTCCCGAATCAATATACAGATGGTTTAATGCTTGTATGCAACAACATATAAGCATTATCAAATGTGTTTATAGAAGTGTAGTTTCCGGGTCAAAGAGTGTAAATATGTTACAGAAAGTGCACGTCTAAATCAGAGAAACTGACGGGAAGAACCATGCTGTTAGATCACATCCATATGGCAATTGCTGTGTTGAAGCCATTTCCAAACACACTGCATTGTCCATGTTGCCCGCAAGTACCCAATACTTGAGTTTTGACAAACTAATGTGATGAAAATAAATGATTTAAAGTAGAAATGTACTATGTTGACTACTCCGTAATAATTACAGATCTAAAAGTAGCCGCAAGGGAAGAAGCTGGCCAAGGGCAAAAAAATCAGGCTAAATATATGTGGTATTTGATAATTTATGTCAGCTCTTCAAAGCTTGGAGGCTCATTTAACTGAATACTGGGTTTTGGAACAGGAGCAGCAGCTATTGGCTCCTGAGGTTTGTACTCCGCTTGTTTGGAAGACAACTTCTCTGGAAGATACTGACCTTCACCCAACTCTGGTTCTGGTTTCCTCTTCATTTTCTTTTTTGTTAACGCATCTGTTGTGATATGTCTATCAGTAGAATTACCAGTTCCCTTAACTTTCTCGGGTTTTGGTCGATCCAAACTAGTGCCACCCGGGGAAGGAACAGGTATGCGCCCGACCATATTTATTGCTGCAGTACTGGAGATTGGCTTATTTGTTGCAGTTGAACCATGATCTCTGGCATCAACTGCTGACTTCTCTTGGATCTGCACTGGTTGATCACGAGTAGTAGTTTCCACTCTATAACCCTCTTCTTCCTTTTGAGCCGAAATCTTGTTCCTTCTCATTTTCTCTTGATTCTAAAAATAAAATGAACACATCAGATGCTATGCAAAATGAGACAAGAAGGAATACACCAAAGAATACATAAATAAACCTATACAAACTACAGAGTATGTACTCATCATGATTTATATATTTCTAGAACACATTTACTTATTTTATTTATGTTGCAAAATAAGAATAAAAAAGGAGACAGGACTAGACGAATCAAAATTTTAAGCACATATGCTGGTTTAGGCAATTAATGGCAAAGAGCAGCAGGCTTGTCTTGACATTTTGTATCAGGCACAGGCTTAGAAGAATAAAACTGTCAAAAGATCACACGTGCACTGACACAGCCAAGTCTAATATGCACATACAACATGAATGCACCAGAGTATATCACAAGAGGGCAAGAAAGGGTGGTAAGTTTAGCAAATATAGATGACTCAGTGTCTCTCTTATCCTTTTTGCCCCTATTCTTTTTTCCAGTAATTCTTCTTTGCTATATGGAACAGTAACATATTCGTACTAGATGGAACAGTATTTGTTTTCCCAATGGCAGCTCCTCAATTTTATTGGTTGTGAGTAATTTCTAAAACATAAACAACACTTCTAATTTCAGTTGCGATTGAATTTCCTAAATCCTCATTATTTTTTTGTTGGTGTACCTCAAAACCAAAGCATAGAAAAACATGGTTGATCAAAAGACATGCATGGGAATAGAGTTATAAAGTTTATAATGTGTGAACAAGATTAAGGAATTCATACCTTATGCCGGTTGTATAATGTCTTCCTTCTGTCTTTTGCTCTACAGATAGCACGTTTAATTCCATGGTTGTCCATGAATCCATTTGGCCAATATGCAGCAAGCTAGATCAAGAACAACATCAGCACATCAGGGATAGACTTCAGGCGCCCGAGGGACGCAATCGCCGCCCTTGTATTTTTTTACTTTTTATTTTTTAAAATTTGTTTAAAATTTTTAATTTTTTAAGACTTGATAATTATAAACTATTTAATACTTTAATAGTTAATACTAAACTATTATATATTAACCTAAAAACATCTAGAGTTTGAACAATTGAGGGTTGTCTTGACAATGGGCAAATGGCCGTGATTTGTGCCTTAACAATTGGGAAAAAATTAAAAAAAAAAATTAAAAAAAATTAAAAAAGTATAGTTTTCACCCAAAACAAAGTGAAAAATCATCATTTACTACCAGCCAACTGATTTTTTTAGATAAAGTCAAAAGTAGAGTTTCTACCTCCGCATACAGCTTTCTGACTTGTGGACCAGCATCTTCTTCCAGTCCCTAAAATTGAACAGCATTAAGCCTCCACGAATACATTACCAACAGATAATTTAGAAAATGCATCAACATTTATTGGAAACTAAATGTTACAACCTCAACATAGAGATCATATAAATCACATATTCTGTTTTCTAAAGCATTATCCATGCAATATTTTCTTTTAAAAGCTTCTTTTTCTTCAGTTGCAATTGATTGGAAATCATCGGAAGTTCCAGGCTGTTGTTCGATTGCCTGCACATATACATTAAGCAATCACTAAAAAATTAAAATTCTTAATAACTGTGGCACCATTATTTATCAACATAATTCAAAAAAGCAACAAAATATCAAATGTGAGTATCCTACACACTTCTTTGATCAGAGCTTTCCTACTATCTGAATAACTAGAACATTGAAGGATATAGTTTTGGTAATGCACAACAATCAGAATACCACTTAACGGCCGAGCCTCGCCAAATAGTAGTAGTAGTTGTAGTATACTAGTATGTAGTAGAGTGGTAACAAGTAGGGGTGGGCAAAAATACCGAACCGAAAACCGTTCGTTATATATATATATATATATATATATATATATATATATATATATATATATATATATATATATATATATATATATATATATATATATATATATATATTAATAAAATAATAATAAGTTACACATTCACAACCCTAAGTCCCTAACTGCATACACCAATACGCCTTAATGCCATAGTCAATACTCCATACGCAGCCACGCACTCACTCTCCTTGCCGCCGACCACCGTAGCATGAGCCCTGAAGTCTGAACGCCGTAGCCTCACCGCTGTCGATCACTGTTGAAGACCAACTGGCGACCACAGAGGTAAGAGGCTACTTTCTTTTTATTTTCTACAACATGTACCTTTTTCCCCCTTTTAATTGTTTGTTGCCATGGCTTTTACCAAGTTTTGTTGTATGTTGTCCTCTATAGTCTATATAATGAAAAAAAATTGATTTTGTTGTTTGGGTATCTTGTTGCTTCTGTTTATGATTGGTTGAATTTGGTGGTTAACTATAACTTGTTAGCAATGCCTAATTACATATTGAAGAACTCAAGAATCACAATTCCATGTTAAATTCCAGTAAACTAGTTCCGGTTTACTGAAATTAATTCCAGTAAACTGGTTCCCACCAGTTCACTACCAGTAATTAAATTCCAGTAAACTGGTTAACTGGAGTTTAATTCCAGTTTTCAGTATTAATTCTAATGTTATTTCATATTTGATAATTTGGACTATGTGAATACTGAACCGAACTATAATGTTAAACCGAATGGTATCATTTTTTTAATACCGAAACCGAAACCGAAACCGAAACCCAAAATGCCCACCCCTAGTAACAAGAAAAGCAACAATAATAAAAATATAAAATAATAATAAGAAAGGAAATCCCCCAGAGACATTACATTATGGACAGAAATGAGGAAATCCATAAGAAAAAGAAAAACACACCTTTGATTTCATAAGTGGAACTCGGTCCTTTATCATCTCTGCAACTTCCCTTTTTATTTGCTGTACCCTGTTATCCTTCTCCTGCTTTGCAGACAACCCCATATTAATCATGATCTTCAAATTTCTCTGCAGCCAAAAATAAGATAAATCAAGTAATGGCTTCATATTCAGACCATCTTGAGATTTTGCTTATAGTCTTCCCCACAAACATCAGAACTGATGACAAATAGTCCCCTCCTTCCAATCATCTTAATACATATCATACATTCTGGAATTATTATTATCAAGAAATAAATAAACTAGGGATTATTGATGCCATCATAAATAAGTCGCGGCGCCCCCCGACCGCCTTGTCGCCTAGGCGACAAGTTAAAAAGTACAATATATATATATATATATATATATATATATATATATATATATATATATATTATAATCCTACTGTCCAAAGTCCAAACAATGTAGGGAATTAGGAAAATAAAAAAAATAAAAAACAAGTGGCAGGCATTGAGCACTGCCTCTGCCCCCACTGCTAGCCATGTGTCTTTATAAATCAAAGTAATAACTTTCTTTGGTTTATAAACCAAAACAAAGACAAATGAAGAAGTCAGCATCACAGCAGCAAGAAGACCGCGAATAGTGCGAAGTGTGAACCGCAAAATGAAGAAGAAAGAAGAAACTAGAAACAAACCAAGACTCGGTGGGACGGCGACAGCAGTGGAAGGGAGGGCGACGGCAGTCATCTCCTTCTCTACGCAGTCGCACGAAATGTTTGATGTTTATTCTGATATTCTCTCTCTTCTCTATGCTTATTAGGGTTTTAGGTCTACCTTTTAAAAAAAAAAATTGAAAAATGGGTAGGGTTTATGGGTTGGACGCCGGATTGGCGTCCATGGCGTCGCCTGGGACGCCTAGGCAACGCTGGAGCTCGCCTTGCCATTTTCAGGAGAGGCAAGCTCTCCAGGCGTCCTGTCTCCACCGACAGGACGCCTAGGCGACGCCATGATAACTATGGATGGCAATACTTGAGTTCCTAGTTCAGATCCAAATTTCTCTCTCTCTTTAGTTCATGCCAGTTCTTACTTGTGTCTCTGAGAGTACAGTTGGAATCTAAGAAGTAAGAACACAACTTGCATCAAGGGAAGAAAAAACAAAGATCTAGATTGTGGTTGTTTCAGTCCTTCATTACACCGACAAATAAAGAAAATAAAGAAGGGACTGCTTTACTGGATTCAGAAAAATGTAGCTAAGATACAATTTCTGATCCTTGGTTAGGAGGAAAATACCTTTAATGTCCGGAGCTGTACCAAGTGGCCAACAATACTCATTAAACGATTTATTAACTCTTTTGATAATTTTCCATGGCTTGCCTGCTGTTACCACCCAAACACACAAAAACATGAGAAGTCAATAGGGAAAATCCAAAAGATCTAGGCTGAAGTAACAAATGTGGCAAAACAAAGATAAAAATATTAAAAACATATTTATGGACTTAGGGTAGCTTGTCTAGTACTGCGTATCTAGCAACTTTCGCCAGTTTTTGCTTTATTTCAGGTGGCAATCTCCTTTTGATAGCCTGAGATGAATTATCACCATCTTGAACCTCAGCATTAGGTGGCCTTGCTGTGATATCAAATCATATGAATATAATTAATGCATAAGAAGATCAAATAATAAAGTCAAAAGAATCATGAGCAACAGAATATACATTCTGCAACGAACTTCTCCAAGTCTCTGATTGCCTTCTCAAGCATTGTAATTTTTGATCTAACACTAGATCCATCCCTTCTCTGCACAAAAAGGGCATTCTTCACTTATACAAAAGACAAAATTGGCATTGTTCATGCAATCTCTGATGATAATCATTAGAAACATAAACAATAAATTGTGAAGAACATTCATGATAACCGATCCAACCACTTAAATCACATACAATATTCATACCAAGTTAAATGGATCATAAGTATCTATAGGAACCGTAAAGTTTGCAATATTACAAACAAACACATATATGTATGCACATGTATATATACACATTTTGGATATGTGTGTGCATGCATATGTATATATGTATTGACTGCAAAGAAGATAAAAAAAAAAACAATTACTTACCACAGTTTGTGTGGATCTCTTGCCCTCGGGAGCACTTGCGTCAAGCCTTTGATCATAAATTACACTTTTTTCTCCTTGCTGAAAAGACTGATCTAGCCCATTGGAAATATTTGCAGATCTTCCAGAAGATTTTTCTTGAGGAACAGAAATTCTTTCATTTGACCTTTGGTTGGAAGTTTCAGAGCTTTCTTTTAATTTATCAACAACATTCTTGGAATGTAGAACTTCAGCCTTCTGCATGTCAAAATTCACCTCCTGCAAGAAGGTTTCATCATTTAGGACTCCTGAAGGAAGTGGATTCCATGTATTTCTTGTATTAGCAAACATGCACTCACCTGATTATGAACATTAGCATTTTCACGATATAAAGTTGGCATGACAACACCATAAGAGGGACTAGATGTTCCCGCAGCAAGCGGTACTGATTTCCCAGCCTTCTTTCCTACTTTAGCAGGCTTATTTGGATTACATCCATCATCACTACCAGACTGACATTTGGTCTGATCTTTCTTTCTTCGCTTATTTGGCAGCTGATTTTGTTGAGAAGTAGGTTCACTAAGAAAAAACAGAAGCAAATGCATATCAGGAAGACCAAAAAAACCTTGGTTGAAGAAGGAAGCATTCATCTCTCAAGCATAGCAACAAGATGCAATGAAATCATAGGCAAAAATGTTCTCGGAAAGGATTTCTTATTTGCCTGAGGTAACATCATCCACTATGTTGCAATGATATTCTTAGTATCAGACAACTCTAAAACACTTAAACTTACTACTGGTAAATACTAAGGAAACAATAATTGAACTATGTTATTGGGAATATGATTTCAAAAACAAAGAAATTAATATGTTATACTTCAATGAATCTGCCTATTAACAGATTTATTTCCTCAAGTGAAGAGAACATGAATATAAAATATAACTGAATCTTCCCAACTGAGCAAATGAAAGCATAGAAAACCATACAAGAAAATATTTCTGATGGACAGATAATTTTGTAAAGTTAAATTCACTATTGCAATAGATCTGTGCTACAAATTATATTAAATAAAATGATAATAATAATAAGTTAATAACAATAAACACGCACATCCGCTCTAATTTGCCACGGTTGACAAAGAACCCATCGTGTTTTATAGCTGAGTTATCAACCTGAAAATAATCATCCTGCATATAAAAAATGAAAAAAAAAAAATAAATAAATAAATAAAATCAACACTGGAGAAAAACCAATTCATAAAATGAGCACATACAACCAAAACTTCTCAATTACTAAAGAATTTTTAAATGATTCTTGGCTTGAATTGCATGGGGCAAGTTTCTCCGTAGTTTTAATGCCGAAGTAAACCATGGGCAGGATTCATATGGAATCTTTGTCTCCCTTTATTTCCTCATAATATGCTGCAATTTCTTCACTGTTCAGCGCCCTGATTTTCATCCCTAGATCAATCTTTTGATGTTTTATCCCACTTACTATCGATACCAATTAGTCCAATTACCAAACCATAGTTTGATATGAAACCTTGAAACCAGAGATTCAGACCCTTATCAGTAACAAAGTTAAGGAAAACTTGCTGGTTATTATCCCCAAGGTGCCCTACATCAAAATCACAGGATTCCCTGTCCTGTCCTATAATCAGACACTAAACTCAAAAGAGGGGGGAAATAGAATAATACTTTAAGAATGAACAAAGAAAATAATTGGGAATGTGGCAGACCAGCTCAGTATCATCTATGAAAGAATCTTCTGTGTCATACTCATCTTCATCAGGAACATCATCAAGATCTTCATCATCGTCACTTTGCTTTCCCTTAAAAATATTAAATCTCCATTTAGCATATTAGCTTCATAGCAAAATGCTCAAAATGCCTTTAAAACATGGCTTACAGATTAGATAAAGAAACCATACATTAACTAGGAACAGCATTTAAATACGTAATGCTCATGGCTCACAGCTCTCTACCTAGATAATCTGTAAATGAAAAAATTAAAAAAAAAAAAAAAAAAAAAAAAAAATCATACCACATATAGGCGTTCTATCTTCTCTATTACAGCATTTAAACGGTTTCCAGGGGGAGCATCCTTAGCTTCCTTTTCAACAGGTTGTTCCTACATAGGCCACCAAAAAAGTAACAGACAATTAAATTAATTAACCGATATACAAATATAGATATAAAGAGGCATTACTACAGATAAAGAGGTCGGCAAGTTGATATCACAGAAAAAAAGCAGTTCAGGCACGATGAAATTCTTACTATTGAGGAAGTATGCACCGTGCAAAATAAACCGAATAACTTACTGGAGAGAAGCCAGGGCCTGGGGAATCATTATGTGGCGGAAGAATAAGTGGTTGAAGCTCAGCTGCAGCTGCTGAGGCTCTTGGGGCAGGGCCAGGAGCCCCATTACCGTTGGACTGAAGACCAGTTGCCTCCTTTAGAAGCTTCTTCCACGATACGATTGTTGTCTCTCCCGGTCTTAACTCAACCGTGAACCTCTGCCGCCCTCCCGCCGCCTCGTACGACGTCGACACCCTCCCGACACCAGGTTCACCGCCGCTGCTGCCTTCATCTATCGGAGGCTTCATTGATGCTGTGATTGTTGAATCTGAATCCAATTAGGGTTCAATAACAAAGGGAGCGTAAAAAGAGGGAAACAGAAATTCGAAAGTCGAAACCCTAGATTGGGATTCTATAAATTGAAAGGAGTTGAAAATTCGAAACTATGCAGTGGACACAGGACGAAATTGTTCATTGAAGTTTATATACTTTATATATACGGAGTAATATATATCACTCCAATTGAGTTAATTCAATTTTTAGTCATTCTAAATTTAAATATTGTGATTTTATTATTTTAATATTTTAGTTCTTTGTATTTATTTATATTAATATGGTTTTGGAGTTTTGGAGTTTGCATGCTTTTGATTTTGATTATTTGACAAATTATAAAAATATTTTGCCAAGTGACTAATGGCTCCTACTTATGAATCCTTAAACTTTGAATGTACTAACTTTAATGAATTAGGATAAGGGAACATATTTGAGAGTAAAAATGCATTTTGTTGTACAAGTTTATTAATTTTATGCCTTTTAGTATACCCAAGTCAAAATAAATGGGTTATGTTAATGTTTTTTTATCCCAATTAAATATGTGTTATTGCCTCAATAGATGATATGGTAAGATTGAATATTATCTAAACATAAATGTTATGATGATTTTGACTATAATTACATGGTCAATAGAAATTAGTGTAACGTGTTAATTGATGCATGCTATTCTTTTGTTATATGATAGCAAATTGGCAAGTGTAGACCAGTAAAGAGATATTGAACATTGACGAGTGTTTCAAGGTTGACAGTGCAAATACAATAAGAAGTTGAATGCTACGAGATATTAGGATAATGTGGATTGTATGCGTTGTGTTTTAAGCTAGATGAAACAACGCACTATAAATGGAGGAGTAGGTGCTAAAGAAAGTGCGCTTTGGGCCTATATAAGAAGTTTTCAATGTGTTGAGATTTAGAGTAAATGTGAAAAAGTTTATGGACTTCTTTAGTGGATGGTAAAAAATCAAGGGTCATTGTGACCCGTGTAGGGACTATGTGAATGTGGAAGGAGGGGGGGGCATTGATTGTGCATATCTAGTTATCTACTAAGAACAAATATGGTGGCATACATTGTGGTCAACATAGTTATTCATGGTGATACGTGGATCACGCTTGAAGCTTTAAGCTTCCCTCCTCAATAACGGCGTCTTCGCTGCACTGTAGTACTTCCCTTCCCACCTACACGAAGCTCATTGCATGGAGTTTGAGGCCGTTTCCTCGGCCGAGACTCGACTTTTGGGCATGGACTGACGAGTGACGACGGTGACGCGGACGGCGGAGGTCCAGACGACTATGACATGGACGAGGAAGAGGTTGAGGAAGTCGACAAATTGGTTTAGGGACTTCAGTATATCAAATTGGTTTTAGGCATGGTGGATCAAATTGGATCTTTTGGCCCCATAATGATCTTGTAGAATTAGACGATGACATGGAAAAACAAGTAGACTTACGATCAATGCCAATTTTGGATGCATGTTAGTACTGTTTAGGCTGTGCCACAAGGTCAAAGGCTCAAGCTTTAAGGAAGCCTAAATCAGAGTCTCCCACTTATTATTAGTTATAATCTATGTATTGTAAAATAAAACATCACCCTTCTCATTTGCCCTGTGATATGAGAAACCTTATTCCAATATGAACACTTGTGCAATTTTGCATAATTTCCTTTTGATAGGATTTTGGTCTGAAAATGAGAATATAATTGTGGCTAGGGATGACAATGCCGTGGGGCAGGAAGTATACTCCCATCTTCGCTACCCCGTCTTTGTCTCCCGCGAAAAATTTAAAAAATCTCTATTTTTGATTAACTCTATAATCAAACTGTCAAAATCTAGTACAATTTAAAAATCAAAATGACAGTATTACTAGCATACACCAAGAATAATTATATGAATGATTGAATCCATTCAATCCACCAACAAACAATTATATAATTCATTTCCAAATTAACAGTAATACACACAGTATCATAAATATACACCAAGAACAATTATATGAATCCAGTCAATCCACTAACAAACAATTATATAATTCAATTTTTAAATGGATTCATAGTATGTATACACCAATACGGCAATGATCTTAATTCCTATTTGATGAATTAAGTTTCCTTTTTGACGAAATCAACACTTTTAAAAGTTTAACAGACCCCTATAATTACTGGACTAAAATTGAAATTTACCTCATTTAAATTATGACCCAATAAAAAGGTGTCTCTATCTCCCGTCTCCACTCCCAGAGTCTTCTCCGTCTGGCGTCTGCTACTCTGCTCCACCGCTAATCTTCAAGAGGAATAGCATTCCGTTTACCCAAAGTATGGCGTCTGGCTCTCCTAACCCGCAAAGGCCCAAACCAAACATCAGAGGTGAGGGTTTCTAACCCAATCTCTGTTTTCTTCCCAACTCATCGCTTCCTAATTTCCTTTTATTTACAAAATCTTGCAGTTGAAGAATAGAATAGATTGATTTTAGCTTTTTATTTCGACTGAGGCCTCATTGTTCTTTCAATTTAATGGCTCGACGTCGGCGACTCAAAACCCTACCGGATGCAAGTAGGGATTTAATACGTGAGCTGCCGGTAGAGGTAAAGGACAGAATTTTGGAGTGTTTGCCCACCCGAGATGCCGCCAGAACTGCTCTACTCTCAAGGAACTGGAATCATGTTTGGTTGCAGCATGAGCGGCTTACGTTCGATTACGAATTCGTGCAAAGTGTCCAGAAACAGTGCCAAGATGATGACGGTAGAACCTTCGTGAACATAATCAATAGTATCCTCTTTTCCCGTGCTGGGCCTGTTAGGAAGTTTACTATACAGATAGACACTAAATATGATCCATCGCCGCAGCAATCTGATTTTGATAAGTGGTGTCTTTTTCTGTCAAGAAATGGTGTCGAAGAACTTAACATATCTTTATATAGTTATCAAACTCATCAGCTGCCATTTTGTCTACTCTCATGCAGGACAATTAAGAAACTGATAGTCGAAGGTCTCTTTATTGATTTGCCTGTAAATGCTTGTGGTATATTTTCCAATGTCACTTCATTAGCTTTCTTGAATGTTACATTTGGTGTTAATGGAATTGCCTCTAGTATTAGTACTCCTAAGCTTGAGAAGCTAGCTTTTGAGTATTGTGGAGGGATCAATATGTTTGAGATCAGCCCTCCAAAGCTTGAAATCTTGTCTGTTATTGGTTCTGTGGTTGATTTGAGATGGTTGACACCACATTTGAAAGCCATTAAGACTCTTTGGTTGTGTGGCTCTTCGTTGGAGGTGAGAATATAACTCATTTTACTTGGCAAATGGATGGATAGATATAATTACTTACCTTCTGGCTTGTTAAAGTTCTTGTGGTGGCTAATTGTGTTTCTTTGTTCCTATTTTTCAAGGATATGGATGTATCTCAGTTTCCAACTGCAATAAATCTGCGAGTGCTGAAGCTATATAGATTACGTTTTGGTTATGGGGATCAGCTCCCCGTTTTTATACAATTGCTTCAAAAATTCCCTAACCTATGTGAACTGCAAATTATGGCAACTGAGGTAGAGTATATATTTGGCAATCATGTATGATTCTTCTTGTTTTGTTTTGCTTTTTCAAATGTCTTCACAGTTGTGCTTTGCTTTTCATTTCTTCTTGAGTTAATAGTTTTTAGTTTGGTAGGATGACAATGAACTGAACGATGAAGCATTTGAGGATCCAAATGGTCTCTTATTTATTCAAGAGCTGCAGATGCTTAACACAATTAAGATTGAAGCATTCAGTAACCAATCCGTAATGGAAATGCTTTTTATGAAAACGCTGCTCTCAAAATCCCCTGCGCTAGAGAAAGTTGTTATTGTGAAGTCTTGGGGTAGTAATGCCTCTGAGGTGGTGAGAAAAATCCAAAGAAAGTTGGAATGCTTCCCTCATGCATCTCCAAATGCACAGATTGTCTGCGCTGGCAATTACTATGCGGGTATGGATGAGGACTGGATGGATACCCATGGTGTTAGGTTTTTAGATTTCGCAGTATGGTGAATCTCCATCGGTTCTATTTGGTTGCAGCTTAGAAATGTAAGCAAAGGTTGTGTTGGAAGCTGAAATGTTTTCTAAGTTGTTCAGCATGAGGTATTTGTAATCATCAAGCATTCTGGGCAATATATATTTACTTTTGTTAATAAATTACTTCAATATGCTGCTTTTTTTTTTTTTTTTTGTTCCTATATCAAGGTCCTGATAGTGGAAAGATTGAAGTAGAATGCACGTAGTACAATTAACATAACTTCAGCAAAAAGAGGGATAATTATATTCTTGAATTTGAGATTCATTTTGAGTTTCATCTGGCAAACCACTCTCTGCTGCTGAATTTTGAGCTGTAAGTGAAGGTGCAGATAATGTAACACCTAAAGTGGAATGACCATCAATATAATAGCTATATCACCCATGTTATAATCATCTGAAAATTAAAGAATATCAGTGGCAGAGAGGGATTAAACAAATCATGTGCCTTACTTGCTGAAGGATTCTTAGCATCATTTCTTTCATTTGTCTTCAAGGAAAGTGGGAAACACTGGTTCATAAAAATGTAAATCTCTAGATATGAAAACTGAACTATTTTGAACATCATATAAAATATTTCCTCTTACTTAGTCAAATTTGTACAAAAAAAGTCAACCACCCTCGAAAAACATGAAGAACACGATCATATATAATGACCGGAAAACGTACACAAGGATCGCCGGAGTGCAAATTAAAGCTAGCAATATAATATCCAACTAACGTAACACTGTACTCAAGTTCCCGGCCGGCCGGCCAATTAAACTCCATGCATGACGTCAAATCCAATCCGGCCATCAGATTGGAGTACGTGCAACGTAACAGACACCAAGCATGCATCGATTGGCCACGCCCCAATTAAGGAATTCTCACGTAACCAATTAACGCCATCATACCGGCCGGCATGCAGATCAGATCAACCAACCCAAATTAAAGGTCACCGGAAAGAGCCCGCAATATACATAATCCACCACAAGCCGCCACGTGCTACTATCCCAGGCCAACTTCCATTCACTAATAACTACTCCGTATTATTTATTGCTTCCAACTGCATAAATGCATGTTAAGGTGAATTGGATGACTACGGTGTTGTATGTGTAGCGCTGCTATTATGTTATGTTTGACTCTTAGAATTGTACCTCTTGTATTTTTGCTATCTTATGGCTATGGAGACGAAGCCGGCTGGAGACAATTCGGCCGAATCGTCTCCGGCCGGCAGTTTTTTTTTTTTTTTTTTTTTTTTTTTTTTTTTTTAAATTTTAAAATTTTAATTAATTATTTATTAAATATTATTTTAAAAAATTAATTTTAAAATCGGTAACTTGCTAATTAGGTAAACAAGTCATTTGGACTAAATTGCATGTTTTTGTGTTGTTTAATGACTCAATTGCATTATTTTTTTAGTTCAATGGCCTAATTGAAATGTTGTGCGCAGTTGAGTGGTCTATTTGACCCTTATTCCTTTATAATATAATATGAAATTTACCCAAAAAAGATAAATAATATAATATGAAAATGATGGATCGAAATATTATTTAGATGTAGAGAAAATAGTAAATGATTTATAAATTTAATGATATAAAAGTGATATTCATTTTTAAAATTGAAAGAGTATTGCATGAATAAATATGATGAGCAAATTAAATATGTTACAAAAAGTCAAAAGTCTAATTCAAACCGAGCGGAAAAAAGAAGAATTTTTGAAGGTGGCATAACAATTGTTGTTGAACACACCTTTTGACCGGCACCACAGACAGCACAGAGGCACAGAAGTATTTACTTTTTTTTTTTTTTTTTTTTTGGATTGATTTTTCATTTATATATGTGTACGAAAAAGAGCTTTGAACATAGGGATATCAATTTAGCCCGAACCCGATAGGCCAACTCGATAAAAACTGAAACCGACAGGGCTATGGCCCGAACGGGCTAACCCGATAAAACACATTAGCCCGACGAACCCGAAACCGATTAGCCCGATACCCGATAGGGCTAGCCCGATAATCGAACTATTGAAAATTATTTTTTATTATAGAAGTGATGTGAAACCTAACATACATAAAATAATTATTATAATTAAAAAGAAATAAATAAATATATATATATATATATATATATATATATATATATATATATAACTAAATGCTATCCCCTGTTTTGCCCCGCCTCGTTATTATTCCTACTCTAAATATGAGTACTCACTCTCAGTTTTTAATTTTAGTTCAGATTGTTCAACCCGCCCGATTAGCTTGACAACCCGAAGTTTAGGGTTAGGGTCAAACCGAACCCGAGAATAAAATATTAATTAACCGATTAGCCCGAACCGATTAACCCGACAACCCGACAGGATTAGCCCGAAACCGAGTGGGCTGGCCCGATTGACATCCCTATTTGAACATATACCTTTCAATATTAATAGTCAAATTTTACTGTCATAATGTGTATTAAATTTGGTTAGTTTCACGAAAAAGACCAAATAATGTACTAAAAAATCCCATCATATTACAACTAATTTAGAATAATTACTTTTAAACTATATATATATATATATATATATATATATATATATATAATGTAAAACGTGAGACGTGTAATACATACTTTTTTATATATTCAAAATATATTATAGGTCTTACACTCTTACATGATATATATAGGTTAACACACAAGAACTACTCTTATATAAATTCATATCATATATTAATTCATTTACAATACTTTAAAAAAAAAAAAATTATAGATCGGGAGGGCATTTGTCCAAGATATGTCGATGAAAATGGTAAAAACCCAATGGAAGCTAAGCTAGGCATCTATCCCATGTTTCACATCATTATCAGCCATTGTTTGATATATGTTTGGCACTTTGACTGGCTTTCGTTTAATTGTTATATTTTATATTTAATTTTTCGGGGACGGTCAACGTAAGGTAAACTATACACCGTTATTACGTTAATTATATTCCTTTGTTGAAAGAGGCAGGTGGAGCAAACTAGTTTTGTGACTAATTGTGAGTCTTTTGCTTTTGATCCATTCTTGGCAATTATATTAAGAAAAATATTACCCATACTCTCGAATTTTACTCCCATTTGGTGTACTCGTGTCGTCTTCCCGCTCCCGTGATCTCAATCTACTCGGACAATTGCAGACACTTGATCAATTAAGGAGACATGTCCGCGAATAACTACATTGGCAAGGCTAGGGTTTTGTGGAGGAGCTCGCTCTCGCCGGCCGACCTATGACACTTGAAGAACAAAACATTTACGTTCTTCGGGAGTTACGACCAAAGTTCAGGGGTCTCGTGTCGTCTCTCAACAACGTGCGCAAACAACCTGTTACTCTCCAAGAGCTTGCGGATCTATTGGACGCGGAGGAATTCATGATGCGCGATGGTCCCGGGGGTGGCTCGCCGGCTGCTTTCACAGCGCAAAAGGGCGGCCACAAGGGCCGCGGTCCTGATCGCGGTAACGGGGGCCGTGGTTTCGGACAGCGGCCAAACAGGCCAGCTGCGTGGTGAATATTAGGATGAAATATATAGCCAGAAGAGTAACACTTGATTGGTGAGACAGTCTAATTTAAAATAAATATTTGTTATTTATAAAAGAAATTACAATATTTATTGTAGAAAATTCAATATATACTAATTTAAATTAAAAATAAATCGTTACTTAGGTAGATATTGTAATACTTATGACTAAATTATGATATTATTTAGCCATTTAAGATAAATTTATTATTACTAATGGTAAATATTGTAATACTTATAACTAAAATTGTTATACTTATACACCCCGTTGTCAACGAAACTCATCCGATCTCACTGAGAAGAATTTGTGTGGCAATCTCACACAAGTATTTACATTTAATTTCTTAAAACAATATTAGGATGGAATATATATATATTGCGAGAAATGGTGCATACTAACCGTAATAAAGTCCTTAAAGCAACATTACGATGGCATATATTGCGACAAATGGTGCATACTCACCGTACTAATCTATATATATATATATATATATATATATATATATATATATATATATATATATATATAAGTAAAATCCTCCTATTTCATTTTCCCGCCCAAACTTTTGTAGTCAAATTAATTAAATATTTTATATTTTATTGGTCAAATACTTAATAAAGCTTATTTGGTAAGCAAATGAAAAATGGGAATTTAGTAATATCAATATTATGAATTAATTAGGAATAAGATTAATTAGGAATATTAATATAATGAATTGATTAGGAATATCAATATAATGAATTGATTAGGGCAATACCTTAAATAAATAAATACACTTTCTTTTTAAAAAAATTTATAAATTTATAATTCTCATATTTTTCACCTATAAATACAATGAGTTGCTGACTACAAAAATTATAAGTCTTCATTTTATATTGCATCCCTTTTTCCCACTAGGTCTTCAGCCTTGATCATTCAGTTTAGCCGCGTTTCGAAATTAACGGTAGGTTTAGCATCCAAGTAGTTTGATTGGATTAGATACAATACGTTTTTCATGGTTGTATTGTCCAAATTTAATACTTTTTCCAGCGAAAAGTTATTCATATCATATGCCTAGATTATGATTTATTCTGAATATTTTTACTGTTACTCCAAGTCCATTTCATATATTGATTTTTTGTTTCTATTGAAGTTTCATTATCATTGATGAAAGACATCCTCATGTGAATCTCGCTTTGAGTGGTGCCTACTCATGCCCGTTTAAAGGGATGCTGAATGCTGACTCCTCTAATCTCTCTCTTCATTTTTTTGCTATACTGTTATTGGTCAAGAATTTAAAGTGCCACACAATAAAATGTGTGACTCATGGGTGATTGGAGATTGGGGAGTGGTTAAGTGTTTCTGTTGTAATATACACGACAAGATATAGCAGGAATCGCCTTTAATACACCAATTGACTATTATTATATTCTTCTTAGTTCTTTGCGTTGATTATTGAAGTAATCGGTTATGAAGTTCTGATTTGTTAAGTTGTTTTATTCTCATGGTGTCGATTTTGAAAGTTATGAAGTCCATGCTCAATTCCTCAGTGTATAGGTCAAAAAGTGTATATATTTTTTGGCGTAATTATGGGATCGCCATA